TAAAAGGTAAAAATTCCTACAACCGAATAAGGCGCCGTTTAGAAAACAACCAACAAGTCTCGCACAAAAGGGTGAGGAAAACAAGGCATCTAACCATGAGGCGTCGGCAGAGGCAAGCAAAAGAAAATTTGAGGCGAAAAAACCGGCGGCTTGTTTCAATTGCCACGAAACAGGGCACTTCGCGAAACATTGCCCGAAAAAAAAGGTGGCCTTTTTATCTATAAATGAAGCCGACGAGAACATGAAGTTGTTAGAGCCCTATATGTACGACCTTACCGTGAACGGCAAGCAGTGTCGGGTTCTTAGAGACTCCGCAGCCACTATGGACGTAGTTCATCCGTCCTTTGTTCAGTCCGGACAGTATTCAGGAGACTGTGCCTGGATTAGACAAGCCGTAGAAGCAAACAGTCAGTGCCTTCCCGTAGCTAAAGTTGTCCTTAAAGGCGCATTTGGAACGTTGGAAACGGAAGCCGCGGTATCGCCATATCTACCCCCTCAGTATCCTTACTTATTTTCAAATAAGTCAGATCAAATGCTGAAGGAGAAAGGTCTAACGTTGGGAGAAGGCATAGTGCAGGCACTGACTAGATCGAAGGCACGTGCGCTGGCTGCGAGAGCAACATTCACTGAGGCAAACAAGCCTCAAATCGACAACGGGCCTGGTTGCGAGTTGGACACCACGGAAACAAATCGACTTGTGCGAGAACAGGCTGCAGAAGCCATAGTCGCGGAGGCAATCATTCCTAAAGGCGACGTTGAACCTCCTCCCGAATTGGAAGGGGTCAATTACGCCTCGTTGACCGAGCAAATAGAAAATGCCGTTGCTCCCAAGCCGATTCCTGGTAGTACAGAGGATAGCACAGAGGGTGACACATTCCAGGTACTAGGAAATACAGAAGAGTTGTGTGTCATGCCAACTTCGGATAATTTCAGTCGGCTGCTGCAGGTGAGCCCCGCTTCATTAATAACCGAACAAAAGGGGGACCCGACGCTTAAGCAATTCCAGGACAGTTCGAAAGAGGGAATCACCAAACGAAATGTGAGATTCCAAGAGAGGAGCGGCATACTCTATCGAAAATATCTAGATAGGCGAGGAGTAGAATTTGACCAGGTAGTCGTACCTCAGGCGTATCGTCAGGATTTGCTTAGTTTGGTGCATGGAGAATCATGGTCAGGCCACTTAGGCGTAAGAAGACGAAAAATCGTCTTTTACAGGAATACTACTGGCCTGGATGCTTTAAAGATGTAGAGAGGTTTGTAAAATCTTGCGATGTGTGTCAGCGAGTGGGTAAGCCGGGAGATAAGGCGAAATTTCCAATGAAGCTGGTACCCGTAATCACGGAGTCCTTTCGTCGGTTGGTAATTGACACAGTAGGTCCTTTGCCCAAGACAACTTCAGGCTACCGTCACATCCTGACCTTAATCTGCCCAGCTACTAAATTTCCAGAGGCGGTCCCACTAAAAGAGCTAAGTTCCGTGGAAGTAGTGAACGCACTTCTGTCCGTGTTTGCCCGGGTAGGCTTTCCTGCCGAGATACAATCAGACCAGGGCACCATTTTCACGAGTGCCTTAACGACAACCTTTCTAGAGCGGTGTGGCGTGAAATTATTGCATAGTTCAGTCTACCATCCGCAGTCGAACTCGATAGAAAAGCTTCACTCCGTGATGAAGCGAGTGTTAAGAGCCTTATGTTTTGAACGAAAAACTGACTGGGAAATGTGCTTACCTGCAACGATGTTTGCACTAAGAACTGCACCACATGAGACAACAGGGTTTACGCCAGCGGAACTTGTTTACGGCCGCAGACTGCGGTCTCCTCTTCGTATGCTGGGAGAGTCGTGGGAAGGTCAGGGTGATGATCCTGTAGTAGTGAAATATGTCCTCACCCTATTGGATCGTCTAACAAAAGCCCAAGAACTGACCGAGAGTGCGATGACCAAAGCACAGCAGAAGGCTAAGCTTTACTACGATCGGACAGCTAAAGCACGACACTTTGCTGTAGGAGACAGGGTCATGTTGTTGAGGCCCTCCCAAAAGAATAAGCTTGAAGTGCAATGGGTCGGCCCGGCCGAAATTACTCGAAAATTGTCTGACACCAACTATGTGGTAAAATTACCAGGAAGTCGTAAGGCACACCAGGTGTATCATAGCAACTTACTCAAACCCTACAAAGAGAGGGAAGCCATCGTGAACATGACTTTAAATGTTCCGGAAGAGGTTCCGGCAGAAATCCCTGAATTAGCTCCTGAATCGGACGAAGTCCCGATCGAGAAAAGAGTTGAGGATTTAGTATCAAAGTCACAACTGACAACGAAGCAGAAGCAGGAATTGCGTGGTCTTTCGACCGAGTTTCAGGACAGATTTGTAAGCGAGCCAGGCCGGACATCCGTCCTCACTCATGACATAGAGCTTACCTCGTCGGAACCGGTAAGATCTAAGACGTATCGGGTGTCACCTCGCCGGCTTGAGCTAATAAAAGCAGAGGTTAACAGGATGCTGGAATTGGGCGTGATTGAGCCGTGTGAAAGTGATTACACTTCCCCGTTAATTCTTGTGGAGGTACCCGGCAAAGATCCGCGTCCTTGCGTAGACTATCGTAAGTTAAACCTCATCACCAAGGATCAGACATACCCAATTCCCCACATTGAGGAACGCGTCGAGAGGGTAAGCAGCGCGAAATTTATTTCAACACTAGACCTAGTGAGAGGTTACTGGCAGGTGCCGCTCACTGAGAGGGCGAGCCGGTATGCTGCATTTATTTCACCATTGGGGACATTCCGCCCTAAAGTGTTGAGTTTCGGCCTAAAGAACGCGCCGTACTGTTTTTCAAACCTAATGGATAAGGTTTTGAGGGGTCAAGAGGACTTCGCATTGCCTTACTTAGACGACGTCGCCGTGTTTTCCTCGTCCTGGCCAGAACACTTGTCGCATTTGAGAGCAGTACTGACACGCCTACGCGCAGCAGGTTTAACGGTAAAGGCGCCCAAGTGTCAGCTAGCACAAGCAGAGGTACTCTATCTCGGGCATGTTATCGGTCGGGGGCATCGCCGTCCCTCTGAAATGAAAGTGGCAGCTATCCGAGACTTTCCCCAGCCCCGAACGAAAACCGATATTCGGGCTTTTCTTGGGATAGCTGGTTACTACCGTGAGTACATCCCTAGATATTCAGACATTGCCAGCACTCTTACTGACGCGTTGCGCAAGACCGAGCCCCAAATGGTCGACTGGGATGAGGAGAAGGAAAAGGCTTTCCGCGTTTTGAAAGCGGCCTTGTCGAGCCAACCTTTGCTTAGTTCACCGGACTACTCGAGGCCTTTCATAGTCCAATGCGACGCTAGTGATAGAGGCATGGGGGCAGTTCTTAGTCAAAGGGATGAGGGGGATCAAGAGCATCCCGTCCTCTATGTTAGCCGGAAACTCACCCTTCGCGAGCAGGTTTACAGCGCTAGCGAAAAGGAATGTGCGTGCTTGGTTTGGGCAGTCCAGAAACTGGCTTGTTATATTGCTGGAAGCAAGTTCATTGTGGAAGTGGACCACTGTCCTCTCACCTGGCTACAGACCATGTCCTCTAAGAACGGCCGCCTGCTGTGTTGGAGCCTCGTTTTGCAACAATATACGTTTGAAATACGCTACAAAAAGGGTGTACTCCATGGCAACGCTGATGGCTTAAGTCGATGCCCCTGACGCGAGAGGATGTCTCGAGAACTCTGGCATTTTTTTTCCTGGCCTAGACAAGAGCTAGTGATTGTTTTTTTTACTCTTTTAGGTGTACTTGTTTGAAAGCGTTGAAGACACGGCTATCCAGGGTTTCGGGTTCGGTGTGCTTCCAGTGTTGTTGTTTTGTGTCACCTTAACGTATGAGTAACATTTTGAATAAATTGTGTATTTCCTTTAATATCAGTTAAAGGGGAAAATTGCCTGGTGGAGTTTGGCGGAATTGTCCGGCGCTCACCGGCTGAGTAGTTGTGTTTTCATGTGCGTATGTGATGTCTGTTGAGCCCACAATGAAGCAGGTGGTGCCCTCTACTTCATCAATGACGGTCGTCACCAAACCGACTGCCGGCGCTGATCTCTCCGGACAGTGGCTGCAAACCTCAGCCCATCGAGATCTTTACCCCCCCGCGCGAGAGACTGTTACGACCGGCCCTAGGGAACCAAGCAAGAAGAGTTTGGGGGAGAACCGGTTCTTGACCGACGGGGTCGTCCACCCCCACCTCCCCATTCAGGCTCCTCCTCTCGCCGGGAGAACTCCGGAATCTGCTGTGCGTTCGTGACCATGTTTGGTAACATTTTAGGGCGCCGTGACCATATATGGACATCGTGTTAGGTTGTGCCACTCCATGTGTTGTGAGAGGTGTTTCCCCCTCCCTCGTGGCCGAGGTGCCGGGGACACCGTATTGGCTGACGATGCGGACAAGGCGCCCAGTGTCAACAACGTGGCGCTATAAAACGCCGAAGACGTTTTGTATCTCTCTCACTTTTCTCTCTTTGGGTCAGTTGACCACTTCTCCACATGTAAATAAATCTCTGTTGTTCGTTCGGGTGCTTCTTTTCGCTGAATTGTCGGACGATGGATCCTGCGACGAGGCCAGCTACCGAAAACGAGACCGGCAGGACCCGGAGTCCCAACAGAATCAATGAATGAATAAACTTTATTTAAAGTCCGGCAGTTTTCACCGAGCGAGGTGGGGGAGAAGGGGATTAACCCCTGTCCCCTCCCACTCTCATCGATTGAGAATGGCGATGCCTCAGGTGACTGCTTGAAGTCCTTGGACCCGGGCATCGTCTTCAGCTAGTAGGATGGCACAAAGCTGGTCGGCTCGTAAAATTTTATATAGCAGTTATAAAAGATATATTTAGTTCTCCAATTTTTCCTATGACATCGCCATCATGCAGTAAAGTCTCATGGGACTTCCGCCTATGCATGGCATTTATGCAGAAACACTGTTGCATGTTTGAGATGGAGCATTACCGTGAATTAAAACTTGAGCCTTACTTACCTTGGTCATGTTTGTGAAGAGCTGCAAGAGAGGGAAATTCAGCAGCAGAATTGACAAAACTTGTGTCCTGCAGGAACCACGAAGTGCTACCTTTTCCATTAAAAATGCCGGTGTAAATCCTCTTTCGAACCTGAGAAGATGACAAGCAAAGAAAAAAAAATTGTAGAGAAATTGTAAAAGGCATAAATGAATAACTAATGGCTGTTATTAACAATGCTTCGCAGCAGCACACCTACATTTCACCCCCTATTGAAATGCAGTCACAGCAGTGGAGATCGAAGCTGTGACCTTGGGCTCAGCAGTGCAATGCAGTAGCCATTGGGCTACCGAATGCAGTTTAAAAACAATTATGAGAGTAGTTAAAACTAAGAACCAAGACAAATTTCTTTTCAACTTCAAAGCTCTCTGTCTTTCATTTTGATCCTTACAAGCTACAACCTAGAGCATTCAGCTTCAATTGCACAGCTTGTTTCAGTAAGGGCTTTTGCTTTTAGGTGTGCACATACAGCATAGCATAGAAAGGGTGCTTCTCAATGAAAGCAGCTCTCTTACACAGTCAGGACTTCAATGACTGAGGGGAAAATTTTGTGTGAAGTAGCAGGCTATTTCAATTACTACCATTGTTACACATCCAACATTTTTTGCATTTATGCAGCAGGAACCTCACATGCTTAGAATATGTATTGTTTGTTCTGTTGTTCTTAGGCATGATCTAGTTGCCTCCAACTACAAGTGACAACCCATGTAGACCACTACCGACAACTGACCAGCACTGAGAAGCCATAGAATGAGGAATGTTACAGGAGTCAACTTTTAAATGTGAATGCATTTTTGATCGGGGCATGTCAGGCATCTGTCGGTGTCTGCGTGCCGGCAGGTATTATCTCTCTGCTCTCGTTCTCTCTCCCACTACAACAGCTGCGGGTGCACGCACTTATCCTCGCTAATAGCAACCGGAGAAGGTGGCGCGGCCGAAGTAGCAGAGAGTAAATGGAGAGGAGGAGCGTGCTCTGGCGTGTGAGAACGCTCGCATTGCGGGAGCTCAGCGGAGCTCCCACATGTATGGAGAGATTGTAAAAGAGGGTAGGTGCAATGCTTCACCGCTCCTTCTTTTGCCATTCGCTCTCTCTCCTCCTTGCACCCTACTCTCCCGTACGCTTGCTCGTATGCATATATAAATGGAGTCAAGCACGTGCCTCCTTTTCGACCGCTCACTGGCTGATGAATGTGTAAATAACTGGCAACAGTACAAATTTTCATCTCGTCATTAATTTACACCCTTAAAATTACTACGCCGTGTACTCTCGGTGCAAGAAATGCATTTCCATTTTCTCACGATTCTTATCAAAAAGGTGCGGGCGATTTTTTTTTTATGGAAATCTACTCGCCAGTAGATTTTTCTTGCTGTCATTATCCATCACAGAATTTCAGCAGCAGAACTTCATTGTTGATACCACAGTCAAAGCACTGTTTCTTTAAAGGGATTACAAAGTCCATAGTTAAGGTTTTTTCTGTGATAGCCTAGAATGAGTATTCAAGAGTCGCTAAGACAATATATAATTATTTATTGTTATATTTTATTATTCTTCTACAAATGCAGACAAAGTGTTCAGATATTAGGACAAGTCATATTTGTTACAACTTTCTGTGTTGTGCAATAGTTTTCAAGCGTTCAGAGCGTAACCAGTGTGTCAAATGCCCTGGAAATAATAAGGGCAGTCCACCAAGAAAGTTTGTCAATTATCAACAGACAAAATGTTTACAGGAAAACTTAATGCTACTATTACTGGCACTCTTAATTTATTGCATAGTTGTGGGATTGTTTTTCTCCGACTCAGCACAAGATCTACACAGACTGAAGTATACAAATAATGGAAGGCACTAAATAGGAAGGAACAACACTACGCTCACTGTTTTGACAACTCCGAGCACAAGTGACATCAGGTGCGACCCACCTCAAAGGAGCATGCTTCCTTCTTTACGTCAGCAAGCCAGCTACTCTTGTCTTCGGCATTGCAAAGAACATGAAGTATGTGACCTGAACACAAGGGCAAGCAAGATAACTATATTAGAAAGAAAACAGATAACACCTTAAAGGGCTCCTCAACAGGTTTTGACAGTCTCAGTGTGATATGTCTATCAAACCAGTAGTGATGATGTCAGCAAATTATAAAGCGCCTGTGTGGCATGAAAATGACCAAAACTAGAAACAGTACTATGTGGCCTTCTTTTTGTGGACTAAAGGGAGAGTGGGAGCTAACATGCACTATCTGTCTACATTAGCTATGAAGTGGCTGTGTGGCGTGAAAATGACCAAAACCTGAAACGGTACCATGTGCCCTTCTTTACATGCACTATAGGAGAGAGGGAACTAACACGCACTAGTTATTTGTCGACACTTAGTGGATAGTTTCGTGAAGTTGTACCTAAATGCAAACCGGTAATGAATATTACTAGCAGGTGAATTCATCCAATGTAGAGCACACTGCAACTACCACAAAAATGAAATAATACAAAAAACAGCAGCTGTAGAATGTTCTCGCCATGATATATATCATGAAAATGCTTGTCACTTTTACCACAATACAAATGTGTACTGCAGGAATATATATACTGCAGGAAGCAGGGAAAGTGTGTGTGATGTTATAGACAGTTTCTTGCACAATGAAAATAACATGCCGAACCATAAACAACAAAGGTCACACACACATGTGGTGGCCTCTCTCGTTTTTACATCAGTCAATTGATGAAAACGTCCTGCAGAAGGCTGTTTGAGTTGTTAAAGACCCAAAACTAGTAGAACCACTGTTTTTTTGTTATTTTGATTACATGAGGGGTTATGGCTGTTTATCGGATTTATGGCTGAGCTTGTACAATTTCGAGCACTGATCAGAAATAGAAAGTTTCCCAGGCAAATCAGGCAATTTGGCATGTATGATACCAATATAATTGCTGGTGCCTAAAAGCTCTACTAGTAATAATTCGAAGTTGTCTATGATGCAGCTGTGACACTGAGAAACTAACAAAACCATATGCCAGTTTTCTTTTTCTGCATCTTGTATATTATCATACTGATTTGGCATAAGGTCCTTTCGATTCGTCTGCACCACATGAACCAGTTCACAAGGTGCTGAACCTTGCCATTCGTTTCAGTGGTGCAGCATTGGCGACCTCTGAACCATGCCATTCGTTTCAGTGGTGCAGCATTGGCGACCTCTGAACCCTGCCATTCATTTCGAAAGGTGCAGAAGAGGTGAAGCGCTGGTTCATGATTTTCCTGCACCTCCTATGCTGACGGTGCCAGCTTGGTGCAGCCGCGCGTGCAGCTGAGCAGACGACGCAGCACTTTGGCGTAAGCGCCGTACCCGCCTCCACTAACGCGACGTGTTTTGCCAAGATGTTTGCGCCCCATAAACTGTATGCATGTGCAGTTTTTCATCGGTCAATTTTAGCTGAATGATGTAAACTAAGTGAACAGAAATAAGGCCTACACCTTGTTGGCACATCGTCATTTGTTTCGGGTGTCACACTGTGCCTGCACCACTGAACTCGCGCTACACAATTTGTGAACTTTGCATGTACAGCTGTGAACTGATTCCGATTGGTGCATGTGAATCGAACGAACCTTTACTAGTTTTTGCACATTTTTTGGCTGACGAATATTTTTCGTAACACCATGGAATTCATACAACTGATATTCCACTGTATATACACTGGCCTCTTATTCATCTATGCGTTGTGACATAATTACGGTGATTAAACTTGTAATAAGACTAGAAACTAGTTGGATTGCATTTAAGATTACAAATTCAGTGCCAAGACAAGGACTGAGGAACCAATTGCAAAATGCAGCATTACGTCATGCATATTTATTGCCCCTTGTTCGAGCATGGACTTTTTTGTGTGTAACCACAACTAGCTAAATTTAGGTTCACCAGGCCACAGGCAAGCAATGCACATGAAGCAATACATTGGCAAAGCTGCTTCAGCCATTTGGAGAATAAAGTCACCAATATTTTGGGGAATCTAACACTTTGTTCTTTTTCATTGATTACTAAAATATTTCAATAAGTTACTGAACGGTGACTATGTTTGCTGCAATGAAGCTCGACTGAAGATGTCATAGTTACATTCACCTGAAACAGAGAGCCGGTGATGTGCTCGTAGAAAGACCTTGTGATAAAGGTTCCGCTTCTCTGAATTTAATTCTAGGAACCAATCTTCCTGGGACAGTGCACACGGAGGATGTGCACTGTAAGCACGCTCTAGCAAAGATGCAGCCCAGCACTGTGCCTCCTGCCAGTCGTAGCTCACCTACAGATTCGATCAAAGAGAGATGCGTCTATATCACGGGATTCTAATCTGTGTGCCAATGTTACCAGTTATTTACGAAATAGTGCTGACAAGTGGGCAGGCCATTCTACTTGAAAAGTACCATCAGGGAGCTGTGCAGGCATAGATTACAAACATGGATTATCCTAGTTGCACATGGGAGTGAGCGTACCTACTAAATTGGGAAGTCAATATTTCAATGGCTTAGTATTTCAGGACTCTATGAGCACTGAGGCGAATGCAGACACTGTTTCCATGCAGGAATACGTGAATGAATCCAAAAACGGACCATTCAGTTTCATTACAAAAAATTTTCGACCTTCAGCTTTACAAGTGAACTAATGAGGTGCAACAATCTCCCAACACTTTGATCACATAAAAAGACATTGCAGCTGGAATTTCCCTCTCAGTTACTTAACCCTTTGAGGGTTTCCGGCCTAGGCAAAAATTCTCAAAGGTCTTTGCTGTATAGGTATGTTCTCAACCCTCTCTTTGAAATTTCGGGCCATAATGATGATGCATGCTCACTGGGAGGTGTTGCCACCTCCTACGACTTACACGACACATTTGAAATTTTATTGTGCTATCTCTTTGCGAAGATAAATAGCACCACACGATTTGTTGCAACATTAAATGGGGCCTTTGTGGTTTCCGTTTCATCACATGATCGCAACATAGCCACACGAAACTTGATTATCACATCAGTTGACACTCCCTTACAGAAATGAAAGTTCACTTTCATTTTTATCAGCGCTGCTTGTGGCTTTTTTATGATCGACACCCCCGAGGTATTCTTGCTCTTTTAGTTTACTTAACCTGCTCTACTCAAGGCAGCCACATGCAGAGAAGCATCCATGTGCATGTCAATACAACTCGTCGGTTTGAAAAAAGGGCACAACTTACATGCATGCAGAATGTGCAAAGGCACTCTGCACAAAACTGTGTTTAAAGGAATACCCTCCTCTGAAATACTTCTGAACATGGAGCAGTTTTGATTGATGCTGACACCAAAATCAGAATTTTGTATCTGCATTGTATTACTTTTTCTTACCTAACATTGTACTTCATCCACCCTGCATGTACGTCCGCAGCATGTAATAAATAATAATAAAAAAATAGTTTGCAGCTTTGTACAGGAGCAGGCATGCTGTTTACATGCAGTAGTGTGCATGCAACTGTCATACACAACAGGCACACTGTATGATAAGCCTCCGAACTATGAAATATATATATATATATATATATATATATATATATATATATATATATATATATATATATATATATATATATACCATTTTTTCTTTTCTCTGCATTTCATCTAGAGCAAGGCTTTCTGCTATGCATAGGTTCTTCATCTCTCCCTAGCAAACTAAATTATTATCAGCACAAATTAAACAATGACAACACAAAAACAACACTGCATGTTAGGTTTTACGTGATCCATATTACTGTGGGCTCTGGGCCATTCCAACTGGAGGGGACCACAGGGTTTTCTTTGAACTATCAGAAGTTTTATGCGATAGATGAAACAAAATTTTGTGGCCCCTTTGAGTTTAAATTTATGAGAGCCTACTGCTGCTATATGGATTGCATAAAGCCTAACCCGAGGTGGTGTTTATGTGGTGTGACCTAATGCAAGGTACCAAGTTTTATTTTAAGGAAACATTCACAAATACATACTGCACATTTTTATGTACAGCCTGTCCTTGCATACAAGCTGCAAACCCAAAAACAAACAGTGGAAAAATGAAATTAAAGGGGCCCTCCAATACTATTCAACCCCATATGTTTTATACGTGGGTTCTGTATACTGAAGTAACGACAGACTAATGCAGTAAAAATGGCAGTGATAATGGTACGCAATCTGAAGTTATTTGACTTAGAAAGTTCAAAATACAAGAAAAAAAAATGCTGACCTTCAACTCGATTTTCGCAGGGTCACTTGACCACATTTCACTCGCCCATGACGACGGAAAGCTTGATTGATTTGTGGGGTTTAACGTCCCAAAACCACCATATGATTATGAGAGACGCCGTAGTGGAGGGCTCCGGAAATTTCGACCACCCAGGGTTCTTTAACGTGCACCCAAATCTGAGTACACGGGCCTACAACAATTCCGCCTCCATCGGAAATGCAGCCGCCATAGCCAGAATTTGATCCCGCGACCTGCGGGTCAGCAGCCGAGTACCTTAGCCACTAGACCACCGTGGCGGGGCGACGACGGAAGGCTGCCCCAATGAAATAAGCTGGTAGCGCCTAATAGGGGAAGCTCGCACCTTATAGTTGCTTTTTTTATTTTCTTGTTTTCAAAGTCATATTAACCTTGTTGCCACAGTATATAAGAAGCGTGGTGCCTGACACCTGGCCAGAATGTGAGTGGGAGCTACTGTGTCGAAGCGAGGTATTTTCTGCTGTTTTTTACAACATTTCGAGTCCATCCCTCCTCTTATTCTGAGAAAAGAACTTGTAGAATGATCAAGACAGTGATGTGTAGTTGACCCTTCGTGCGTTGTTCGGTGACTCGACGGTGAGCCGCCCAACGAACAACATTGGTGCACTGCACCTCTTCAACAGCGCAAGTGTGAAAACTCTGAAAAGCAAGGAGAGAGAGGTCTTTCATATGTACATTCGACCCGCGCAAGCAAAAAATTTAGTGGTGAAATTTAGCAGCCAGCGCCTCTGTCATGCTTTGTAGTCGCAGTAATTTTTTTTTGTTGCTGTTGTGGCCGCATCTGTTCAGGGCTCGATGAAAAAGGGCAGAGAAGAATAATGAAACAGATTAGTAACCTCAGTTTTGATCCTACATCACTATCGCTTCTAACATTACATTTATCCAATGATATCATTATCGCTTCTAACATTACATTTATCCAATGACATAGCGGCAACCTTCTGGTGTAATTTCCCCCAGCAGAGTTCTGGTGAGTGCCGTTACGTGGTAAAGCGGTCGGCAGTGATGTAGCGACTTTAATGCGTGATTAAAATATTAAATCCTTTGATATCGGTCCACACAAACCGCAAATAAAAAATAGGTGCTTCAATAGTGTTAGAGGGCCCCTTTAAAAAGAAAAAAATCCCTCGTTGCCACAAAGTTGCCTTTCCTGCATTGCGGAGAAGCAGTGCTATGAAGACAGCTTGCACATTATTATTAGGTTTGTGTGTTGCCCTACGGACAAGTAGTGGGACATTTTCTGATTTGCAAAAGAAATAATTACGACGCAGTGGGAACTCGACAACTGTGCTTGCAATGTGCATTCAATGATGCTTTGAAATGACCAGTGTTACACGCACAGTTGTTCGTTTTCTAACAGCGCGATTGAGGCATGCACCGAGAACCGAACCAGGCAAGCAGTTGAGAAAGCAATGCGCACCAGGCCTGATTACGCTATCCCAATTGTCTTTTAAAGGCCAAGCTCAGGCGTCCTCCAATTTTTTGGTTTCACCTTCAAAATTTGATTTAGAATATCTTCAATTACGAGAAACTTTCTTGATTAAAAAAAAAAAAACGGGTATGCCATAGATTGGCATGCATCACAACTTGCTAATATGAACAACTGCCAAGTTAATCAACAAATCCTTATTAACTAGTCTTGTCAAAGCCATTTTAGTCGTCATCTATTTCCACCTCAACATGAAGTATGTGTAAGAAAACGACTGTAGAGTGACTGTCATAAAATTGTGATAAAAAATCGGTATTGTCTAAAGAAAACACCCTGTATACCATCTTTCTGTTTCTACAGACAGTCATGATGGCAGCTCTTAACTAGGTAGTTATTTTGGGTACACACGTGCAATAGGAAGGACTTTGCCATTACACTCAAACCTTGATATAATGAACCTGGATATAATGAAGTATTGCTTATAACAAAGTAAGTGACGATGGTCTTACGATAGGTAATAGTGTTAGGAATAAACTTTTATAATGCATTTTCAGATATAACGAACTTCATTTGACGTAAGACGTAACTTTGCTATAATGAAGTGTGAGTGTAGCTATTTTTTATAAAATAAAACACTCAGTGCATTAATATATGAACCACATGGCTGGCTGCCTTTCACTGCATGCTATCAATCTCACATTCTCTATAATACAGTCCATGTATCATATATTACCCGTTTTCATGCTAATTTATAAGCTTCAGCTGCAAAAGTGCTTTGAAGGGTTGTCGGCACAGCATCCATTCCCAAATGCCAGTGTAGCCTCATGCCAGCACTGATTTTAGAGAAGCAGTGTACAATGACATGGTAGGATAACTGACTATATCAAAATGGTGTCCTCACAAGAATTGAAGTGACGAAAGTTGGCTGAATCGGGTATTTTATGTTAGAATGTTCAGTCTGAAACAGAAAAAGACAAAAAGGGCAAAGGATGAGAGTGCACCTTCACAGGCATCTTCAGCACAAGCGTGGCCACGTGGAGGTAGAGCTGAGCCGTAACGTGCTGCAGCACAAAGTTCCAGGCACTGCTCAAAAACAGCTGCTTGTGTGCCTCGTAGAGTAAAATGTCCAAGCTAGTAGTCGGAAAAAATTTCAATGGTTACTTGAACTTACATGTGCAAAGTCATCAGAATAATGAAGTATCAAAACATTTTTACAAGCAGCCAACTCCACACAGCAGAAAGACAAAAAAAATGTTCTTAAATTTATTCCCTTGTAACTTTTGGCATACAACTACAGAACAAGTAGTAAGCACCTGCAATCGTAATGTACTATAAGCAAACTGGTTTACCAAGCTTAAAAAAAAAAAAAGCTGCTGGTAAACTACACAGTTAAGGAACCAATGCATAAAGCAAAGCGTTCAGTCATTTGTTCTAATCCACCAACAACACATGGTTAAAAACGGCTTCTTGCGCTGTTTGCTGAAACCGTCACACAGGCTGAGCTAAGTTCAATGGTATTTTCTCGTACATGTTTCACCACAAACGCAAAATTCAAAGTGATTTTCGCTTTCATAAGGCCTTTAATTATCAGCATTAAAATATTTTTTCTATAATAAAGAACTGAGACAGCCTGAGAAGTAGACCTGTTATTTCAGACACCACAAGAGCGTAGGCCTAGCCAGCGAGATTAACGACAACATCCTGCCCGAGCCTCTCGTGCTAAGCACCGACAATGTGACTGCCGAGCATTGCATGACCCACTGCCTCTTCATTACAGTTCTATCAATTACAATCCAAAAGGGTAACAACAAACCATCACTGCTGCCAATGCTCTGCCTAAGCTACAAAAAAAATTGGCTACTTAAGTCAGGTACAACTTGAGCACGCAGCAGCTTTTCCACCTCAAGGATGAATGCACACGTGTGTATACCAATTAGTAAACACTCTAAACCGACAGAATCGGCTGGATGAACGGTGACCCCGTGGTCAGTAAACATGCCCGATTACATTACTGGGACTACTTCTTCAGTCTCAAAGACAACTGGTTGTCGTGCTTCAGTCATCTGGGCGAGCCTCCTTTACCTTCTTACGTGGTTGAGTATAGACCTGTATTGCTAGAGTACCATTTCGAAATTAAATATGGGGTCATGCCAGGGACACAATAATAGAGAACATGTTCACCACGAAACTTCATAGGCCATAAAACGTGCATAAGTTAAAATGATTGTTACACAGCTGCTGCACCGACTCAGAACTTCGCTACTTTTCAATTTTTAAAGATGGCCTACACTGAATGCTAAAGAATTTGAAGGCTATTAATAGCTATTTTGAAAAACATTTAACAGACCATACAAGGGAGGATAAACTCACGCAGTCATGTTGCTATAACAACCTTGAAGTTTTGGTACAAAATAAGAAAAAAATGCGATTGGCAGGTATTATTTTTTCTAAGAGTCAAGCGGACTTCTAAGGCTACATTATTAGTCATTATGAATCCCTTCAGGGTTGCTCTTCAGTGCTCCCTAAATGCCTCATTACAATCATCATTACAATCAAGAGCCAAAAAAACCATTTTATTGTGTGCGTAAAACCAACGAGCATCATAAGATCCTTGAGATGTCATGCATGCCATGTATGATGACACCATTACATTATTTCACACACGTCTTACCAAAAAACTATTTAAAAACACTGTTTAATACGTGCGACTTAATTCAATATGTTAAAGGGGCACTAAAGTCAACTAAATATGTGTGACTTAATTCAATATGTTAAAGGGACACTAAAGTCAACTATTAAGTCAAAGTTGATTGCTGAAATGGCGGTCCAGAAACCTCGTAGTGTTACTATTGTGCCAAGAAAGGGTCTATTTCGAAATAAAAGCACGTTTTAGTTCTCCGGCGCAGGAGGGAGGCGCCCAGCAGGAGCAGTCGCTCATTGCGTCGGCTTTGTGTTTTCTGAGGCGGAAATCACCATATACAGCGGATTTCTCGTTACGAATCGACGCCACAAGTCATCGCAACCATCCTGACGAAAAATCAGGTAGGAGGACTTGCATTTGACCATTTTATGCCCGTTTTTGTGTTCGCTGTGCTGGCAGAAGAGCCACCTGCATAGCATTCGCCGTAGACACCGCCGCCACCGCTGCGATGCAGCTAGGCGTCGCGAGGAACCACGAAGAACGCAGCGCCCTGCACGCGTGTCGTTCAGAGTTTTTTGACCAGATGGAAGTGACCGTGGAGGGAGAAAGCGTTTTGAAAGAGGAATTTTAGGATAATACCGGATGGCGACCGGTGGGACAGCAAAAAATTACAGAGCAAATGTTTAACCAACCAAGCGAGCAGCATTCGACAGGGGAGAAGGACAAGAAACTGAGAGAACAACGGCTTCGCCAAATCATCAGAGGTAGCAGAATGCCGCCCCTTCCAAGGGAAGACTACAAGATAATTGTTCAACCTCGTGGGGGGACTTCGCGTCGGTGACCACGGTGCTGCCCGCATTGCCAACAGCATCTACGAAGCGGCCAATATACCAAAGGAAATCCGAGAGCAAAACACAATCTGCCTCAACTACCAACGAAACATCGTTGGGGTCAGCACTAACAGATACCGGCGAATTGCCTGTATCAAAATCGGCACGCAAGCTTTTGAAGCCAGCGCTTATGAAGCAGCTCCAGAAAACACCTCCAAGGGAGTGATCAGGGGAATACCGCTAGAAGACACTGCCCGAGATATAACTGAAAACGTCGTAAGCCCCAGAAACCCAACTGCACTCGTGGTCAAGCGAATGGGCAATACCACCAATGTGATTGTACTATTTGACGGCTACCATGTGCCAAGCTACGTGAAATACGGCAGGGCTTTGCTACGATGTTCGTTGTACAGAAAACAATTGGACGTGTGCTACCACTGTGGACGCTTGGAGCATAGGGCTGATGTTTGCCCCAACCCTAAAGATACGATCTGCCAAGGCTGCAGAATGCCAAATCCTCCCGAAAGCCACGAATGCAAGGCCAGGTGCCAGCTGTGCGACGAAGACCACCCCACAGCAGGCCGAACCTGCAAAGCAAGGTATAAGACACCATTCCTAGTGCGGAAACGCCGCTGGGAAAGAGCCAGACAAGAACAAGAGAACGCGTCCTTTGCCGCACAAGACAGGCCATCTCACGCCAAAGCAGCAAGGGACAACATATCGAAGTCCTCCCCCAGTTTGCCATATGAGAGGAAAAGCCGCTGAAGGTCCAGGAACCGCTCCAGGTCAAAGTCACGCTCCCAGTCAAGGGCCAAGGAACCCCAAAACCCCAGCACCGATACATCGTTCAAGGTGAGCTGGGCAGACAGGGTCAAGGGGACGCGCGCGGAGGCTGCTTCTGACCAGAAAGTCACCAAACTCGAGGCAGAGTTAGCACAACTGAAACAAATGATTCTGCAAAACAATCAGATCATTGCCACCATGAGGGGGGAGAATAAAAAATTAAGAGAAGAAATTCATAACTGCAGAACAGGCACGGTACAGTGCAATGACTCAATAAATATAACACAGGATAGTGTAACCAGTATGGAAGAGAGCACTGACTCCCCTCTCCCAAAACGTAAGGCTTTAGAGAACAACGACGATGGTACTAGCAAGCACAAGAAAACCAAGACTGCTAACATGCTGCACAAAGGTCAAGAGGAATATAAAGAATGCGTAGATTTACAAATAAGCAAAGTTGAAGAAGCTGTGAAGTTCAAATTGAGGCAACAAACGACATTAAGGAAACCATGGGAGTGCAAATCCAAGAGGGGGGATCGGCTATTATGCAGCAAATTAACACAGTTATACAACAACAGCAGGTTCACCAGCAGCAACTAGATAGCTTATCTACTAGGGTAACAGAACTTGAAAAATGCCCCTCAGCTACAGGCCTACAAGCCAGTGGAGTAGCGCCTTTTAAACCAATCATCAAACCTCCGCTACTAAAGCCGGCTATTATAAACCCGGCGCCTCCTCAGCAATAATTGCCGCCATGGATAGACGCAACAAATATGTATTATGGCAATGGAATTGTAGAAGCTACAGATACAAGAAAGCCATTCTACACCATTATCTTAAAGATAAAGAAAAACTATATATCATCATCTTACAGGAGACGCATGGTCTCGCTAAGTTGTCTGGCTACTGCTCTATCGGCAGTGCCGAGGCGAAGACTAAAGCCCTTACAACTTTAAAGCGGAAGGATCACACAGCAGTGCAACACAGCGCACAGGTTACCGATATAGAAAATATACTGATTGAAATCATGCTCACAAGAAAAACAGGGGACAGTGTGTTCATCCTAAACGTGTACAGTAGCTCGAAATTCACACGGCACAAATTTTTAACTTTCTTTAAGCGCAAGCTTACCATAGTGGGTGATCGAATTGTAATAATCGGAGGGGAATTTAATGCCCCTTATTGTAAAATGGGTTATAAACACGTCCACCCTAAGTGCGGGAATCTCTGGCTGGACTCGTAGCAGGAAGGGCTAACACTCATCACTGACCCCACAGTACCCACTAGGCAAGGGAATAGTGTCTGTGGTGATACCACATCCGACCTTACTTTTATAAAGAACACGCAATCTGCGCGATGGCTGAATACACAGCAAGACTTTGGAAGCGATCATTCTATTATTGAAATCCAGCTTATTGGGGGCCCACCAAACACATGGGCAAACAGTTTAGTCTAGTTGACTAGGTTAAATTCAGAAATATGCGAGAGGGCATCACAGAAAGCATTACAAACATTGACCAATGGACAGCTAATCTAAAGAAGGATATTTCAGAGGCAACAAAAATAGTCTCACCGGAAGCTAAGCTTGAAATTCTGGACAGTAGGCTATTACATATGTGAGAAGCCAAACAAGGGCTATAATAATGCTGGAAAACACAGAAACATAACAGAACATAAGAAAAAAGATAATCACACTTAACAAGGAAATCGAACAATACTCACAACACCTTTATTGCCAACAATGGGAAGAAACTTGTACCGCCATGGACAACCAACTGAGCCTAAGCAAAACGTGGAATTTACTTCGACACCTCCTAAACCCAGAAGACACAAAAACGGTACACAAACAAAATATGAACAAAGTTCTGCATGCCTAT